TACTCAGAGGTGCCTTTTGGAATAAAAGCGAGAGAGGGAGATTCAGTGAGATTCGGTTGAGACAGTTTGTTCCTAATAACTGTGAGCAGCTTCTGTTCCTACAGGGTTCCAAGGAGGAGCTTGTGATTTCATCAGGACTTTTAAGTTACTAATGTGTTATTAATAATAATTGAGTTATATATGTTTATATAATATCAAAATAGTTCCACATTGTTTCATCTCAGCAAGAGCACTTACTCTGGATGACTAATGCTCTGGGACCTGAAGTTTATAATGGAAAGGCTGACACACACATACAATCTTATCTATCACAGCACTATGCAAAAGGGAATTATATAATTAAAACATTTTAATGATCTCTATTGCTCAGTGGGAAGTTACAAGTCCCAAAGGAGCCAGGCCAACTGTGTTATCAAGGTTTATTCAGTCATCTCTTAGGAGCAGTAGGGCACATATTGCTAAATATAGTGTGGTGTGCTAATATGTGCCATGTGTGGAACATTGCATTGGGACCACTGTGCCACAGAGCTGGAAAGCAGTGCACAAGGAAGTTAGCACACCTTCTCACCCTTTGGCTGAGATTTTCAAAAAGAAATGCCTAAGGTAGATTGCTAAATCCATACTCTGACATTTGCATAAACAGCCTGATATTTCAGAAGAGCAATATGAAGAAATTATCTTCTATTAAAATAATAAAATAGAAAAAAATCTTAGAGCGGCAGGAAAGGATTTTATTATTTTTGGAAATAATATGTATGACCATAATTAATTATGGAATGTAAATGCAGTTTCTGAAAGAAAGTTACAAAACTGGGGAGTGGTGCAGGAGAGACATCAACTCTATGGCTGGGCTGCATATGATGTATTTTACAGAGTTAGGCAGGAACCTCTGTCACAATCTGTGCCTCTTTGTTTGGGTCTGAGATCTAAAAGCAGAAAAGCAGGTGGGTAGAACCTGGAAATCCCTACCATCTAAATATCTTTTGATCAGCATCAGGCCCATTTGCTGGTCTTATTCTGCTTCCTGGTAAGTATATATTTACCTGAGCAGACTAGCACCAGCTTAACACCAGTAGAAGAATTGTCTGGCAAAGGTACCAGAGATGAAAAGTGAAAGTGCTCAATTCAGTGCCTGAACTTGGGTGCCTAGCACCATCTCAGGCTATATTTGGGACATTTGCTTTGGGCTGGCAAATAGAACAGAGGACCTGCAGGAGACTCATACATTTGTGTTATAGCAACGGGGAGCTAATAGGATGCCTGTGACACCCAAAACAGCACTGGGGGCCTGCCTCTGCCTCCTAAGTGGTCTAGAACAGTTTGAGATGTGTCAGTGTATGTGGGTCCTGGTCTGTATCTGGCAGCTCCACAAGAGATCTCAGATGCTGCAGGAAATTCAAATGGTTCTAGAGGCCAATGTGAAAGCAGCTGAGCCAAGCCCCATGGATAGTGGGTGGCCAAACTGCTCAGGCACTCCTGAGTTCATTAACTAGGTCTTCATCAGCCACTGCAGAAGTTTAGATGCTGGGCTCACGTGCAGGCACCTAAATGTATAATAACCCAGAAGCAAATACCAACTGAGGTAAGAATGCAGGACAGAGCAAAGGTGCAATCAATGTTCTCAAGCAGCAAAGCTGCGATGGAGGGGCGTGTGTCAAGGAGCACATGCCCTGTCTGCCTTCTCAGCTTCTCTGGAGGTTAGAGAAACATATTCTGAATTTTTTATCAAAAATAAGGTCCCAGCAGCTACTCCTAGCATAAGGGGACCTCATTTTGCAGCTGCTGCTCTTCCTAGCTGGGGAAGAAGAGCATGATGCAGTAAAGCCCCATGTTGTGATGTGCCTTAAGCAGGAAATCCCTTAAACACATTTCAAAGGGCACTGGGCAGAGGGTAAAGGAGCAACAGGTCAGATTTACCAGCTGAACATTTACACTCGAGAAAATGTAATAGCAAAGGATGAAACAACCTGGGTAGTGTTTCAGAGTGTAATTTGTGCTAAAAATCTTATTTTTTAAAAAATCCTGAGCAGATGATTTTTTTTTTTTTTTTTTTGTAAAACAAATAAGAGACACTGCAGCAAAAACATTTCTCCAGATAAGAAATATATGCAGAAATCAGGACAATACCAGAAGCAAGACATGTTCATTAAACTGGGGTGGCTAAAGACTAACAGAGTGGCGAGGCCAGCTGGAGAGCATCCAAAAGATTGGAGGAAAGGGCATATGAGAGGAGATATTTTAACAGCTTCAAGTGAAACTTCTCAGCAAGCTGTAGAGGTGTTGATACATGAGAGAGTGCCACAATTCCAACAGGTGAAAAAGGCTGTCAGCAAAGAGTAGGTGGGAGCTTTCAAGTAACCTTTAAAAGTAGAAACAAAAGCCAATAGTTTTCTGTTTACACAACAGAGTAGTTCTGATACAGGGCAACATCTATTTATAATCCAAATAAATCTTATGTTCTGGTATTTGGAACTGTTAGCATTCAACATCTTGGGATGCAGCAGCCACAAGGCTGCATTAAGAAATGCTGAGTTAAATCTGCATTGTTTTGTTTTGTGTATTTTACTCCTTAGTCACTAGCCAATTACAACTTGTGCAAAAGAAACAGATTTCCTTTTTAAAGGTGGAGTTCATAAATGTCCTGACACGTGATATCTAATTCCTGCATTGCTTCTAATTCCTGCAAACTAAGCTCTTGCCTGACTCTTTTTTCCACAACCCTCAAAACTTCCATGTGTCCATCAACATCTGTTATAGATGACATGCAGATAAGAGTCCTATAGGTCCCAGGGAAATATATATAATCTGGGCTATCCAAATCCATGGGCCTGGTGCATTCCCTGGCTGTGTCCTAGCCCAAGTTTTGCCTCTTGTGCTCTTTCTTTTGGAAAGGAAAAAGGTGTGATGAATGCCACAACCTGCCAGTCTGGATATCAAGATGCTGAGATTGAAAATTGAGGAGTGCGGAGCAGGGATGGTGATAATCACAGAGTCCATCCCCCCTAAAGTTTAGAAATGGTCAAAAAACTACATGACTGCCAAATGCAGACATATTCTGAAAGCAAAAGGGGTTTTAGCAAGACTGGTGGGGTCTGTACCTCTGACAATCACAGGCAGGAAGGAATCTCCCAATCCGAGTTCTTTGCTCTCAGGCTGAGAGTTTGCAGAGATACCAGTTAAGCAAACAATTTTTCACACTTAAATGAGACTATTTTTGTGGAATCAGGGGGTTGTAACTACATGATCTTCAAGGTCCCTTCCAACCCAGGCCATTCTGTGATTCTATGATCCAAAGATACAGGCTTCTCTGGTACAGGACTTTTTTTCCCCCTTAAATAATTTTCCCTTTTACTTCAGAGTAGACTCTTACTCTGTCAATCCAACTTATTTCTGACTGCTGTGCTCATAGTCACACTACAGACAACTTGCAACTCACCTAAAACAAGTTATTATCTATTGTCAGCCACTACAAAACAGCTCCCCAAAGTATGCTGTTAGTACTAGGTATGGTATGGAGGATTTCTCTTTGAAGTCCAGGGTACTTGAAATAACAGTGGATAAACTAAATGACCTCTCAGGATCTTTTCCAGCCTCCTTTACTATGGTTCTGTGCATTTGCATCAGATTCACTTGTTAGAGTGCTTAAGGTTTTGAATGTTTGTCCTGCTGAACTGACAGTTTGGGGCTGACCTTTAAATCCTCTAAACCCCCATGGAAAGATGTGCATTGGATAGAGTGCAGCAGCAGCTGATTACTCCCTCTTGAGAGCTTCCCTCCAACCCCAGTCGGGAATCTCTGCATCCTCAGTGCCTTTTGTCTCTGTGGAGGAGTTAAGGACTGCATCAGTCGTTGGCCTAATGACAAAGATTCTGTCTTAAAATTCCCCCCCATCATTAACTATTCCATTGTCTGCAACAAAAAGATCCGGTCACTCATCTAATACAACTTGAACTTTCAATACCTTTGAGCACCTTGCCCATTCATACACAAGCTTATCTTCTCCATAAGACTACCTACACAGACCCTGCTGTCACAATATACATTGACTTTTTTTTTTTTTTAATATAGAAGGATTAAGAAGAATTAGCAAAATGTTCCTATTCAGAGCTTGGCACTGTACCATTTCAGACTTCGTTGCTGATTAATATAGTGAGTTTCTTTGTAGGGTGTAATTACACTGAAATAGTTGAAGGGTTACCAAATGCAGGGAAACCCACAGCGATTAATCTTTCAGTAGATATTGAATCCAATTAGGTACTCAGTGACCATTGCAATATAATGTTCTGCAAGTAGAAGCTAATGACTAGCAATTTTTAAAAATGTTTTGATTTTTTAAAATTATGGGTTTTCTCAGTAGCGTCAGAATGATGATCTCAATGGATCATCATTCTTTCACTGGGGACCCCTCAGCTACGGGAAGAAGAGGAATGCTTAGATTTGCATTCACAATTCTTTGTGGCTAGTCCATTGCTGTGACAGGAATGGTCATGTTAAAAGATAGTGTGACACCTGAAAAATATACAGAGTCACTGTCCTCAGTGACTTTATTTTCTTGCTCTCTTTACTAGAGCAAGATTTGTATTGGCTTTATTACAGAATGCTTCCTGAATAGATCAGCACTCTGTCATGAAATAATGAACCAGCTTTTTTGAAAGAAAGCATCTTTACTTAGGAGCGTTTTAATATAAAGTGTGCTGGTGTATATATATGGAAGGGACTGTAAGATGGTTGCATCTATTTTTTCCAATTTTAGAACTAAAGATCTACAGTTTTTTAGAATTACTGCCTACAAATTAACTGGCTTTTTTAAGACTCCCAAATTGCATTAAAAGACCAGCTCCTTTCTATTTATACCTCTGTTTTTGAATGATTTATTTACTTTTCCAGTTCTACTTATCTGGAGCCACAATAATTTTCTACTTTCAGAGTATTACATGATGGGGAAAATAAGTTAGACAAATTAGAGAAATAAACAGTTGCTAAGGAAAACATACCTGGTGAGGGAGATAATTATTTTGTGGCTGTCACACTCTCCAGGGATGCTGCTTCCACAGTTGTTCCACTAAATGAGTAGATTTCAGGTAGAAACAGTCCTTTCTGAACTCTGCTAATACAAGAAGCCAGTTCTCATTATAAGAAGTCAGACTAGTACTGATCTCTAAATACCAACTCTGAAATGAAATTATCTAAATAAATAAACACCCGACTGAGTTCTTCTCATTCCATAGACTGGAAATCTCTCAGAGAAGGCAGACCCTGGAAGAAGCAGTTTGCTCTATTTTGTCCTTCTGAGTTTTATAGTGCAGATATAATACCATGAAATATTAGTTCTATGACTGACTTAATAGGGAATAAAAAATACAGTGGAAAGGCTGTGCATTGTGCAGTAAGGAATTAATGGGCCTCTTAAGTGACTGTACTAAGACAATGTTTAATCTAGATGTACTGTAGAGAGAGATGCAGTGATACACCAACCAGCAAAGTACTTCCCAAATAGATGTAGGCAAGTCACTGGCAGCAGCACAGTTTTACCTGTACAATAGTTAATGCTTAATCTATAAATTGTTTAACGTTCAAAGAGCTAAAACTTTTTTTTTATTCTTCCTTTGTGAAAACATATACTCAAGTGCATATATTCATATGAATAATGCATTTACCATATTCATATGTAAAGCAGATGCAACTAACTTTCAAGAAGACACAGAGGCCAAATCTAGTGTGATATCCACATGGAAACAATATTCAAGGTTTACAGTGCTGAAATGTAGAATGTACTGTTTTATTCTGCCCTGGCAATGCAGTCTGAGGTAACAAACAAACAAACAAACAAACAAAAGGTGCCAGAAGAACAAAGTTGCTTGAATTACTCTAGACCCAAAACCAGTTAAAAGTTTCTAAGAAATTCCTGGTTACCTGCAATATTACATATCTACACCAGAAATGGACAATATTATTAAAAGCATAAATATGAATTTAAATGTCAATTTTTGTATTTAAATTTGTCACTGTTTCAGTGTATTCGGCTTAGATAGCAAAGAAAATACAGAGCTGGAGTGCAAGGGTCTTAATGTGTTTAACACTTGTCTGAGAAACAAGCAGTCAGGAGAGTGTTAGTAAATGTTTATGCATTTCAGAAATGCCTTCTGCATCACATATTATGTACTCAGACTATGAACGTACATAGCAACAGAGCTGATTAAAAACAACCCGTTTAATTACTGTGATGTATGGGAGCACACATTCTAAAAGCAATTTGTTAGTGTATTTTACACATAAATGATCTTAGGAGAAGCATGATTAGAATGGTTAGAACAAAGAGTTAAAGATAAGAACAAAATCCTGCTGCCCCAAGAATCATTTGTTTGCTTTTGCCAGCTCTGAATCTTATTTCAGGCCAAGAAATTAAGCAAAGCTGGTCAGCTGAGAGGAAAAGGAAGTTGTACCCTCAGCAGCATCTGAGGGTCTATGAGGGAGAGTCTGTGAGATTCTTGCAACTCTGAGAGGCCCATTGGTTTCAAAGTCTCTACTCATATGAAATTCTTGCAACTCTGAGAGGCCCATTGGTTTCAAAGTCTCCACTCATATGAATTCATTCATAGCTTTACACCAAATTATTTAAACATTTTTAAATAATTGGTCTGAGTGATTTAACTTTAATAGAATAATGCATATTTTCTTCCATCTTCATTATTTGCATTAAGCGATTTTAACTACTGACATAAAATCTTGGCTATCCTATGATGGAAAAAATCCACAGTGAATTGTAAAAAAATACTGTTGCAGTGCACAAGTGATAAAAATACTTCATTTGCCTTAATCCACTTCCTATGGAAGGATATTTCATCGTAACCCCTGATGCTCCTTCTTCTGAAACTATTGTTGACACCTCATTTATACTGGTGTTCTTGGTAAGTTCATTCAGGAAATTAAAATTTTTAAAACTTAACTTATTATTTCTTAGAAATATTGCTATTACATATCAGATCTGGATAGGAAGAAACTCAATTCCCCATGCCAAAATGCCAAAAGAGAAAATCCAACTCAACAACTGGGCAAGTGCGATTAATAGGTCAAGAGTATTTTAAAGTTTATCAGCAGAGGAGATGTTGCTTTTGGAAAGCGCATTCTATCAATACCAGACAGCTGAAACTGTGCTGTGTCCCAAAGAGGAGCTGACTCACTTCCAAAGTGTCTGGAAAGGTCAGTGCATGTCTTCTGGTTATCACTTTCTTTTCAGCGTTTGGGTTCCCATGGAGATGACAGGTCTGTTACAGAAATGAAACTCAGGACACACACGTCCTCCTGCCTGCTCCTTGATCTCCCAGTCCTGCGGAAAAAGGAGCCGTCCCCTGCTAAAATATTAATCTCTGCTATGGGTCACTTCCATCCCGGCTGGAACCTCTCCTGATGGCTCTGCCAGTCACGTCGTGCACGGCGCCGACATGGACCCAGCATAGCCCCGGAAACTGACCGACCACTCCGAGCCGGGGTCCTCAGCTCCGCGCTGAGGCTTGGCTCCCTCTCTCCCTCTTGCCACCCTTCCTGGCACTGGTTTCCATCTTGTCCCCATGGCGGTGGCCCCGAGGTCCCAGAGGACAGACGGACGGACGGACGGACGGACGGACGGTCGGTGTGTCGGCCGCCACTCCCGCGCGCCGCCGCCACCGGGGGGCGCTCCCGCACTGCGGATGGGGCTGAGGGGGGGCGGGGCTGCGCCTCTCAGACGCCCGCGGGTCTCTCCCTCCCCGTTTGCTCTCGCTCCTCGCCCAGCTCTGTTCCGTGTCCCGAGTTGCGGACCTGCTCCTCGGGGACGGTGACATCCCGTATTTTAGCCCGAAAGGGTCCCAGACGAGCCTCTTCGACAGCGTTACCGGGGATGCCCTTCCCCGCTAATGTGGGAGCAGACGCGCTGCTGACGGCGGGCCCCGGGGAAGCCCTGGCTGAGCCCCGCTGGACGACCTGTCCTCTTGGGCAGGGAAGGGACAGGGTGTCTCGCCGTGTCACCCTCTGCCACGGCACGCTGCAGAGGCCAGGACGCGCCGGGTGCCACGGGCAGGCTCCTGGGAACGAGAGACGGGAGACCCTCGCGGACCCTGTCCACCAACGGGCTTGGCCCCACACTGGAAGGTGCAGTTCCTTTGGAAGGCACAGGATTTCAGACAGGGCCTACGGGCGCGGGTTTTCCACAGGATCTGACGGAGGGGCCGTGCGCCCCGTCCCTGTGCCCGGGGAGCCGTGCTCGGCCCGCCGCAGCTGCTCCCGGCTCCGGCGGCGCTTTGTGCTCGACCCAAAACACCCATGTGGAGGAGGGGTGTCGGGGGGAGTGTGTGTTTTATATATGTCGGCTGCCTAGGGTGGAGGCCAGACACACCTGAACTGTGCCAAAATGACTAAATCCCCTTTGCCCCCGAGGCTCCCGGCTGCGGCACTGGGAGTACCCGCGCTTTTCTGCAAGATTGTCCTGGAGACCAGCCAGGTCGGCAGGGCGAGCGGGCCCTCCGCAGGGGCGACGGGGGCTGCGCGGAACCCACTGCGCGGGGACACCCTCCGCGGCGCCGTCCCTCGAAGCCGTGCCCGGAGACCCAGTTCTTACACTGCTCTCCCGTGTCTCCCCCTTTTGGGAAGCCTAGGGGAGGGAGGGGGCGGCGGGCCGGGCCCCTGCCTCCGGGCGCGCTGCCGCGGCGGCCGCCCGTCTCATGCCGCAGGAATGCGCGGAGGTATGCGCCAGTTTCCAGAAGTGGATCCCCTTCCTTGCTGGAGCAGAGCAGCGCATATATCACCCGGTGGCAGCAGTCCACCTTCCCTACAGTTTCGTAACCGCTTACGAGGGTAAATTGAGAGTTGGGAACAGCCCTCTATTAAGTAGCAGATTGAGAAGAGGCTCTTCCCACTTGGAGAAGGCAAGTCTTCCCAAACAGACCCCTCGCATCGGGAGCTACAGTAATCGAGGCGCCTCCTCTGCGCTCAGCTGTTGCCGCCGCTGCTGCTCCTCGTTCGCCGCTGCTGCTACTTGCTGCTCCCTCCACAAGGTGCCCCCGGAGCTTCATCTTTATCCTCCTCCCTTTACCCAGGTCCGACTGCTCCGGCTGCTGCCGCTGCGGGCACCGCCGGAGTCATCGCCGGAGGAGCTGTCCTGTCACCGATCCCGCACCCCGTGGCCACCCCGGCAGGTCTGTGTGTGCCCGCGCAGGAGCGGGGGTCCCCTGCCCTCCCCGCCGTCGATCCCCGCGGCCCGCCCTGTCCGCACGCAGCACGCATGCAGCCCCCTCTGATGCACCTTAGGCTGAGATTAGCAGCGCCGGGCTGGAGGCTGGCACGGGATTGGGAAGGAGCGTGTTGTGTGCGCTTTGGGCATGTCAGAGCCGGCTGCAGGCGTGCGGCCGGGCGGAGGAGAGGTGAAGAGCAGAGCGCCCCGGCGCTGCTGGCTGTCAGCCCCGGGGAGGGCACGGGGGAGCCCGGCGGGTGCCGGGCGCCTGGGCAGAAATACATAGGGAGGCGGCGGTGTTCCGCAGACGGAGGCTCCCGGCGGCCGGAGGCTCCAGGCGGAGCCCTCTGTCAGCGCCCAGCGCGCCTGCAGGCAATGCTACCGCTGCGGCTTTGGCAGGAGTTCTCGCTTCCCTCCCCTGTGTGTACAGCTGCCGGTGATGCTTTCTCTTGCTTCCAGTTTTTTATGCCTTTGATAGGTAGTGGGTTTTTCTTGCGGTTTTTTTTTTTTTGGTTTATGTTACTTTTTTCTTCTTTAAAGTGGTAAATGTCCTGCACTCTGTCTGGGAGAGCTTTGGCTAAGCTTTCATAGGTTGAGTTAGTGTGAGATTGGACTGGCACTGTGAAAGGCTGTTTTTTTTTTTTTTAAGCGGTCTCTAAAGGTCAATGAGAAAACCTTTAGTTCTGACACAAAGTCTGTTGTGTCACAACTGAGCCAGTGAGAGGACCTTTCCTCTACCACCTCCAGGCTTTGTTTCACATTCCTAAATTTGCAAGAAGGAAACAGAGTGTTCCTAGGTGGACAAATGAATGCTTTGGCTGAGATGATGTATTTCATGAAAGAAAAACGGTAGACCTGCAGCAGTAGTGAACTCCTAGATGCCTTTGTGAGATGATTAATTTCTGTTGCTCTTCAGAAGGATCAAGAGATGGCACTCAAAGCCTGCACAAGATTTCCAGGACAAAACGTCCTTTTGCGTGAAGTTCAGGCGATCATTAAACTCACTGCACAATACTGTATATCTTCCCAGGGACAGCCGTTTTCCATGCAGAGCTGTGATATGATTTTGGAGCTTTCAGGGCAATTTAATACTAAAGCTCGCCTTTCTTGTGTTAGGGAATCATTATGGTAATATTACTCTTCTGTTTACCCTCTGGAACTGCCATTGGACTGAAACCATTGCTTAGGTTTTCTTCGAGCTCTTGATATTTTCATGTGCAGTAAAGGCATTTGGCTAAGGCAAGTATATACAGCTGCTCAAAAGAAGCCTGTTAAGCTCAGTGTCAGTAACTAGGAAATTCCTGGATTTCCATAGCATCCACCCAATAAGTGTGCCTTGCTGAGTAGTTCTCTGGATGGTAGAAGAATATTATTTTCCCTTTCAGTTGTTTCTGTGGATGAATGATTTATGTATTTTTCCTTTGTTTTGCTCTTGGCATCTTCCTGAGAAAATCTGTTGCCTAATTGCTTTTGGAATTCTCTTTCCTCCAGCCTAATTATGATATATGATGCATTTATGACTTTATTCAGACAAATTGCCCCTCTCCTACTTCCCAAGATAGAAAATCCCAAACTTTAGAAACACTTATATTTGTAAGTGATGTGGACTGTTCATATTAGCCTTTACTTAGACAAGGAAATAATTTGGAAGTTTGGCTGGAGTAATTGGGAGTAATTTTACATGGCACAGAGCATATAGTTATGAAGCTGCTTGCAATTAAGAACCGTTAACTTGGCCTAATCCCACCTTTTTTGCCAGACAACCTACAGCGACTGTGAGACTCTTTTGTCTGTCGGCTTTTAATAGTATATTTTAAATCTGTTTTCTCTAAGGACATGTAAATGAATTATCAGATGTTGAAACATCATGGCTAGACAGAAGTGTCGGATTTCAGTTGTGTGTCACACACACTTCTGTATAACCTATTTCAGACCTTCAAGAAATGAAGAATAGTACATTTGTAGGCAGAACCCCTCAAAAAAAATTTTATTACAGTTTCCAAACTGCCTTGAGACCACTAAAACAAAGCTAACTAAGTGGTTCAACAGTTATGAAAAAGGAGCCGAATAAAATCCCCAGCTGAAAGAGACATTTAGTTGATCCAAGGCAGGAATGACCGCTGAATTAGCTATCATCACATTCAGCGATGAAGTCATGGAGCTCCCTTTTGGCTCCTGTCTGAGCGGAGGCACAGGTCTTCACTGCGCTTCCCTGATCAAATTAACCCTAACTAGGTTAAAGCTTCAAGTACTTACTGTGGTTGGAAAGACTTCAGCAACAAAAGGCACATTATTGCAAGATGAGACTCTCCAGTTAGTCATACAGATCTTTTGTCGTCTTGGACAGCTTTCAAGTCTAGAGTTTTCAACCTGGTCCCGTGGGTGGGGGCTGGGGATAAGGGAACAAAGTGAAATCCGTGGTTCGTGGTTTTTATGTTTCATGAATACACCCACGCAGACCTTTAATCCACACGTATCATTTCCTTCTCCTTTCTCCCCCTTCCCCCCTTCTCCATCACTGCAGATTCATTCATGTTGTTGTGATCTGAAAGAGCAGAAATGAAGACAGCACTGTGCTCCGCAGTCGCTGCTCTGTGTGCAGCAGCCCTCCTCTCCTCCATCGAGGCTGAAGGTAACCTTCCCCTCCCTGCCCCCTTTCCCCGGTGCCCTGCTGACCAGCAAACCTCCCAATCAACCTGGAGCTACCGGCTCTCTCCCTCTCCACTTTTGAGTGTAACTACTTTACTTTTTCTCTCCTTCATAGAAACGCCTCTCCTTCCTTGCCCAGGTCCTTCTGTGCTCTCTTTCTCCCAGCTAGTCAGCTGGACTGTAACTCCCTCTCTCTGTCTCTCTGGTGTGCTGTCCACACCACCCCACTGACAGGACACAGGCCAGCCGATGTGGCCGCTGGGCGCAGCGCCCCGAGGAACCCACTGCCACTGCTGCTGCCGGCGGGCAGCCCAGCACGGCTGGGGCTGTGGCGCTGCCCCCCTGACGGACCAAGAACGGCTGGTCTCTGGGCTTGTTTAGTAATATTGAGAGAGGAAACGGAAAACCCACCACCCAACAACCCACAGCTTTGAAATAAAATGCTCCAACAGAGTATGGCTCTCTGCGCCTGTGTGTTTTGTCCAGCCGGACCCCTCGCCTCTGCCCCGCCGGCCTGCTGGTACATCGGCCTCCCCTGCTCAGCGGGGCGACCCCCGGCTGAGCCTTGGGGTGGCCGGACCTTCCCTCAGTGACACTTCGACCTCTGCGGAGGGTCTGACCTGGGGAACGTGCCTGGGGAGATGCTGCCATTGCCATGTCATGTGTCCTGGGTACTTCTGAAGGGAAGGCTGGGCCAGGCCTTTGTAGGGCAGCCGGGGCTCCAAGGCTCTGGCATGCGTGTGGCCTTGTCACCTGCAAAGAGGCTTTCCTCCTCCTCCTCTGGCCCTGGCCCAGTCTCTCTGGAGGCTGAGGCCCCTGTTGGCCCTGGCAGTGTCCTGCCTTCAGCTGAAGGGTTGAAGACCTGGAGAGACCTGCCTTGGCCACCGCACTTGCTGTAGCGTGGCTCGAAATGGCGTGGCCCTGGCACATTTGCTCCGCAGCAACTGTGAGAACAACCTCCCCTGCACCCTCAGTGTGAGCTGCTTGGCTTTGGTCATAGTCATGGCATTTCTGCCAGTGGTGGCTGCCAGGGGCAACAGAGATGCCGAATATCCTGCACTGAAATGACTTGATCTGACCTCTGGGACCTGACTCCATCATAGGGTGAACCAAACCACTGGGTGTGAACTCCCTGGGATTTACTGGAAAAAAAGCAGAAGCCAGCATCTGATAATTCGTTCTTTTCTCCCTTCCTTCTCCTTCTGTCTTGAATTGAAACAAATTCCCTGATCATGGCCTGCCTGCCACAAGCTCCTGTGTCTGGACCTGGTCTCCTTGGCTGATGGTTACTAAAAGCATGGGGTGCCAGACATGCCTTGGCAGTGTTTGCTGCCCCAGCAGCAGTGCTTGCTTGGGGCACACAGATGGGAAGTACCCTGGCTTTCTGGAAAAAGATGGCATTTCTGTCAGTAGTGCAACATCTGGTCACCCTAGGAGAGAATCAGCCCACTGCCTTCCTCTTGTGCTACGTTGTTGTTGGCTAAGGAACCGAAAAAGGTCATTTCAAGTCATTTCAGAGTTGCATTTGAAATGCAGGACCACCGTGCCAGAGAAAGCAGAGAAAGAGTACAGTTTTGATGAAAGGAGTGTAATGGTTTGTGTGTTCTTCCCCATCTTAGGAGGGAGCTTGGTTGGAGCTGGAGTACTGTTGCTGTTGTCCTGCCCTACTGATTACACGTAGGGAGTGTGCTATTTCTGAAAGTAAGTGAAGGTGTTTTATTTAGCTGTAGCGTAGACTAAACCAGTCATAGCTTCAATACTGTTAAAAAAAGCTACAAAAATCTATTTGGAGCAGCACACAGTTATTTTATAACAGTAAAACTGGACACACTGCCAGACAAGCTGGCCTAACTTGTTTAGATCCCGTGTGGAGGATGCACTGTTGCTAAGCAAAAGAGTGGACAAAGCCTGATCTTGAGAGTTGTAGAGCAGTCCTGGCCAGGACTTACATAAACAGAAATGTTTCTTAAATAAAATACCTAGTTTACAGTGATCACATTTCTATGAGGGAATTCTTCTAGGTTCAGAGTTTTTAAGTAAAAGCAGAAAAATGTGTGGTTAAAAAATTGTGGTGCTGAAAATGGAAGGTCAAAACTAGAAGTACTTTAGGACTTGCTGTGGTAGGAACTGCTTTTGTAGAGCTTTTTGCAGTGCTTTTTGTTTGCACTATACAAAAAGTCATTCTTCTGCACTGTTTTAATGTTGTTCTTCAATTCTGCATCATTTTGTCGATTGCATGTTGGATCTTATTCACTTTAGTTCTGGTATCATTACAAATTAAATCCTGTCTACTGAACTGACTTTCTCCTGTGAACATTAGTCCTTTAGTCTTTTTCCTATTTTCAGATCACTTTGTGGCAAAACTATCCCCCCTTCCCCTCCCCAGATCAGTCAATCAGTCTTGTGCCTCTTTGTTTTGGCTCTCTCTGTGGCATTCATGAGAGATGCATTTTGAATTTTCTTTCCCTCAGGTGTGAGTAGGCACTTGGTGTGAAGAAAAAGTGAGAGGAGAATAAGGGAGAGGACCATTTGATGTGATAAAGATTGTTGATATGGGGTGGGAAGGTGAGGTGAAAGCAGAGAGAAGGAAAAGATTAGTTCTATTTTTCTGCCTTCCTTCAACTGTCTCTCCTGGGAGTAGATCTATCTGGTGTTTATCTGATGCTGCTGTTCATAGATTCCTGAATCTTCCAGTATGAAGCTGGTTCTTCATCAGCATCACAGCTGCTCTTAAGTCCTTTGTGAGAACTGTGGTCTGTTACTGTTGACAAGGCAGAGCTGCAGTAGTGGTGTTAGAGTTTTTCTACAGAGATGCAGCAGCACAGGATTTTCCAACTGGGCAGTCACTAGGATTAGAGAGGGTAAAACCCACATGTAGTCTAAATTCATGGCATTTCAGTGGGGAAATTGTTTACTCTGGTCAGGGCTGCAAATCTGTTTTCAAGCTCAGAATTTTTTCTCTTACAGTGAAATTATTGTTTTATTTTGCAATCCTTCTGATCTCTTGCTCAGCTTAAACTTCCTGTGTGTGATGCTATATTTTATGCTATAAGTTCTTTTGTGCCTTTTTATTCTCTCTGCTAAAATTTCTCTCTGTCACAGTATTTTTTCCATCTTTGATCACAAAGAACCAGGGGTTCTTATTTCAGTCATAGTTATGAGCCTCTAAAGGTGCTGCCTTTTCAGTTTTTCAGGAACTGGTTCAGACCTGGAAAAGTCTATTGACTAGGTTGCAGGTAGGGAAGGAGACCATCACTGATCCAAGTGTGGGACTTTTGTAAAGTGCATAAAAAGGTTTGTCCTGTGAAAAATCTGTTACCAGGATATGCAGTAGAGTAAGTGACAAATAATTGCAGCACAGCAGTTGCAGAGGATTACAGTTTCTCTTGTAAGAAAGCTTGTATTGAGTACACTAATTTTCATTGAATGAATGATTTAGAGATGATCTGGGATAGCTGAAACTTGAAGTTAACCACCTATCCAGCTTTAGAACTGGTTGGTGGAACCATTATTTTATTACCTTTTGATGTCTACTTTCTATCTCTTGAGAAACTAGCTGTTGATTTCTAAGTTCCTAGGAGAGAGAACCATGTAGATTGATATGTGAAACTGAAATTTTTATATATATGAAGGTGAACTATACCTCCCTGTTTTTCATGCTGCTAGTTAGAATCAAAGTGTACATGCATTTGTAGGTGTATACACTCATGCACATACATATATATGCACAAACATGCATGAAATTTGGTAAATATTCATGCATGCAGTGTATATCTATGCAGTTGTGTTTAGTTACATACATCTTTATATGTATAGATATATAGATTTAAATGAGGTCTTTTTCAAAGTACAGTTATGAGTTATAGATCTATTTTGAAGAAATTTCATATACATGTACAAAATAAAAAAATGCAACAATACAGATGACAATGTTTCAGTGTTGTGATTGGCGATGAATATCCAACAAGTCTGAGAAGCAACTCTTTACTACATTTCTAGGCTGTAGCTCATTCTTTCTCCCAGTTGCACTGGCCACACAGACTTCAGAGGAGCTTGACTGGGGTCATGATCTAGTTACTTGTGCCAAATCCATGCCATTTCTGGAAAAAATACGAAATGAGGAGTTTGGGCATCTTCCAGCCTCAGCAGGGCTTGTTGCTGTGACAGTAAGACTGGGCTTACTCTTCAGCTTCTGTAGATTGTATATATTTCATGTTATTTTAACATGGGCTAACATGTTATTTCACATGCTAATCATAGTCCATCTTTTCCAGTGAGTGGAATTACAAATTTTGTTTCTCATAGGGATTGTGGATGGCAGCTACTTCCAAGATATATCACTTTTAAGTGTGGTTCTGGATATAAATTATTTGAGCTTCTGGTTATATTTTATTTCTGTCTTGTTAAGATATTCACTGGAATTCTCTAGCAGTCACACTGTGTTATCTGCAAAAAGCTGTAGACTTTTGTATATTAGATTTGTATTACCTGTAAAGTAATACAAGCTAGTATAAGACCTGCGTAGCATGAAAAAGATGTTTTGCTCTATATTTTTTTGTTTCAGAAAATATACTCTTATTACACATGTAAATAACACAAGAAATGGCTATGAATTAAGTATATTATGTCTGGTTGGTTTTTTGTTCGTTTATTTTTTGTTTGGGGTTTTGTTTGTGGTTTTTGTTCTGTTTCGGGTTTTTTTGTGGTGCATAGCATAGACTATCCAATTAAGAAAATTATCATATCACAGTTCTGAGAGTGGTCAAAATTAACGTAGTGTAAACATTATTGTTGTGCAGCAGGATATTTTTTACTACTCTGGAAAACTGTTAGGGAGCCATGCATTTCTGTGCATCAACACTGGGATCACTGTATTAAGGCAATACTATAATGCCATCACATATTATGATCATGACTCAAGTCAGTGAGAGGTGTGGCATGGATTTTGATGGACACAGGATGAACATTGTCACTACACTGTAAGCATTAGGTGCAACTTCACTTCTGCAAGTAGTCTGACATCAGGACTGCTTGCTTGAGTAAAGCTGTGCTTGCATGTCAGATTTTGTAAAGTGAAGTTTTAAGGTTTGTCCCAGTAATGGGGCAATCTCCTACCACAACCAAGGTCATTTTGTTCCTAGAACTCTGGTCTGATTCAGTATTGCAGATGTATTATTTTTCCACTGGTGAATTCCTTTCTGGAAGAAGAATTTTAATGAGGTCGAGTAACAGTTGCCCTATTTTATTATCACAATAAGATTTTTATCATCTAAACATTTTGCTGTACTTTGGCTCAGCTTACTGCTCTCAGTCATATGACCATGGTTTGATCTTCACCCCACATATGGTTTCATTTGGGTGAAATCTGACCCATGTGAAGGTCCATGGCTGTTTTGGAGATTCTGTTTGAGTATCAAAAGCTTACAGACCATCTGGCAGATATTTTGATGACATTGGATCCAAACTGCTCCTTTTTTTCACTCAGGCAAGGTTCCTTTTTGGATTTGAATGGGTGTAGTATTCATTGCTTGAGTTTGATAAACCAGCCATAGGTTGAGAATGAATGGATTTAAAGTGCAGCAATGAAGACTGGGGTTAGGTGTCAGGAATAACTTTATGATGATAAAAGCAGTGAGGCCTTCGGAGTAATTTCTGTGGGAAGCTGGCAGTCTTGCCAATAGTGGAGATCTTTAAGAATGATCTGAGCAAACATGTCAGAAATGACTTGGGGTGGCTCATCATGTCTTGACTATGGGATGGATGAGGAGACTTTCAAGGTCCCCTGCAATGCCGTTGTTCTAAAGTGCTGTGATGACCTGGATGAACAGATACGTCACTTGTGAATTGATGTACTATTCTTGTTACCTGCCAAGATCCGCATCTGAATTTTCATAAAATGAATTAAAATCCTTTAAGATGTTAAAGACTTCCTCACAGTCAGCTTTTTCAGTTTATCTGGAATCCGGTCATTTGGATATCAACAAGTTGGGCTGCTGCTGTCCTTCAGCAGTTAAAGCCTAAAGTCTCTGCTGCAACATGCCAATTTACTTGCAAGGTTGGTAGTGCTATTTTTTCCATGTACTGAATTTTTTTTAAAAGCATGCTCAGGTCAGTTGTCTCTGCCTTTGCATTAAATTTGTCCTGAGCCATTGCTACTGAAACAATATTTTATAATGATATTCTTATCACCTAAATGTATTTTCCTATTAACATGTGTTGCATGATTTTGATACTAAGTAACTACCCTGATGTCTCTAGCATTGTGATACTCATAAACTGATGAATAAAATGTGCATGCAGGTTAATGGTCTAATCTCACTGCCTGTGTATGGACAACAGGAAAAATAACATTTACTTCAGTACTAGTGTTATCTATCGTATCAGTATTACAAAGCCATATTATCCTATGGTTTGAAATGACAGAAAATTAAAAGGAGAAAAATGCCAGATTTTTTGAGCAAAAAATTTTACTTTTTGCAACTGAACAGTAACTTTTCATAATTAAACATTCTAGCATTTACCTCTTTATCTGCTTTTAAAATTATATACAAATCTGAAATGAAATCTGACATATGATGGAGATCTTCCATGAAACAGAGATCTGTCTATTAAAAATGCCTGCAAAATCCTCTCTCAAGTAGTTAAGGAAAGTATGGCTGGATCTAATCTTACTTTGTAGACCTATTTAAACACCTACCATGCACTGACAGTGAGTCAGTAAAATACTGCATGAATAAGCATGACAATTTTACGAAGAGAATATCATTATAAAATATTTATGAAACGTCTTTGTGTAATGAACCTTGTACATGGAGGCTTTTGTTCATTGTGGGAAGCTGAAAGAATAATAATCAACATTTCATTTACATATGCATGATGCTGCAAAATAGCGTATGTAAACTATTTCTTTCTGTACTGTTCAGTTACTTCTGTCATCAGCTCCTACAAATTTTATTTGCAGTCATTTGTTCAGATCACTGGTGCTCTCTTTGCCGTTTTCTATAAATTCTGCAAAATAAATGTCCATAAATATACCTTGATGTTGTCTTTTCATAATTAACCATTGTGTTGTTTGGAACCATACTGGCATTTTATGTTAAAATGCCACTATTAGTATGGGTACACCTGCTGCAAAGGGAACATGAAAACAATAGTTTACACCTTTGAAACTGTACAGAAATCTGGTGTAAACAGGTAGAATTTTATTTTTGTGAACTTAGTATTAGCTCAAATATTTTAGCAAATTGCCATCATTATTAATGCTATTCATTATCCCCTTAGTTCCTGAATCCTTTGCTGCTATGTGCATAATATGTCACTTTAGTGACTTCTAGGGACAAAGGGGCGAAGCTTTCTATATTTTGAAATAAAATGATACCTCAGTGTATCATTATTACAGATATACATTTTGCAACTATATTCATATCTAGACCCCAACAGAAATTGTTTCGCTGAACATTAAATGCCCCATCTTTTCCTGTATTCTTCAAATTATTTCTTTTCTCTGCCAAGTTTCTAGATTCAGTGAAATTGATCGAGAATATTACTATGCAGAGACTATATTAAAAAGCTGATAAATTCTTTGATGTCTAATTAAGAAAACTACTGTGTTTCCCACATCCTAAATGATCTCATGATATTGTAAGCAGGTTGTGATTTGGCATGCTTGTACGGATTGCACTCAGCATGTAAAAAATTTCCTTTAATCGTTATGTGAAATGTTTGCATATGTGGTTATTATCTGTGAACTCATTGTACATGTATCCAAATGTGTTTTCTGTTGTGCTTGATTTTGCTGGCCATTCTTGAATGTCTTGGCAACTCAAGAAACATATGTTCTGTGCTGTCTTCTGTAATGCATATACTCTTTGATGTTTTGTCACATTTTGTCAGCTTTTATTTTACTCTTTTTCCAACAACATATCTTTATATTTGTTGGAAACAAATTTATGCAAAGACAATTTTAGTAAGCTTTGCTACATATTCTTTTATTTATTCATTTACTATTTTTCCAATTTTTTAAACATCCACCTGGTATAAATCTTTTGCAGTTAATCCACCATCAGACTTGAATTTTACAATTATAGATGAACATAATGTTCAAATGTCATGGAAAAGGCCACCAGATGCAATAGTGGGTTACAGAATAACTGTGGTACCAACAAATGGTGAGTTCTGTAAAATTTTGTTATGAGATTACATTTTTTGAAACATTGGGTTTATTTTTGCTTATATCTAACTTAAGTATGAGAGTAACTGTTAAAATATTTCTGAAGTTTGTGATCAAGACTGAGCAGAAGCAAAGGGCATACAAGGACCAGTGATTGTTCCAAGTTAGATCTTTTTTCACCATAGCGTTTACTGTTTTGGGACTGCAAATAATAAGTTTTGGATGCCTTTGCTTTCCAAGGAGCAAAAAGAAGGTAGAATCATCACTCTACTCCTCTTCTGCGCTTTTACCGTAAAGGTTAAGAATTTTATTGTGCTGTGTAAGAGTCATTATTCTATTTCACTTTGAGAAATAATTAGTGTAAAAGTGATATTGAATCAGACCTGGACCATGATTTGTTAGATGATAGCACATTTTGTATGTGCATTTTGAGATTCAAATTTCCTGGAATTTAGTAATTTGTTCACTATTGAAGCAAGTTAGTTTGAAGTTTCTTGTTTCAATATTCATACTTCATGAAAACTCTATCATTCTAAAATTATAATTGGATTTTAGATAGATTATTCTCTGTTGCATTTTGTTTTATGATAAACATCAATATTATTGGATTTAAAGACTGCATTAAGTGTTTTATATATTTATTGCAGATGGACCTACTAAAGAATTTACTCTTTCACCTAGCACTACCCAAACTGTCTTATCAGATCTTATACCCGATGTAGAGTATGTTGTATCGATAGCTTCATATGATGACAGAGAGGAGAGTCTACCTGTTTTTGGCCAGCTGACAAGTAAGTAGCTGTTATACAATCAGAAAACCAAGTAAGATACCTGAGTGGTCATCCATAAAACTGTGATCCAGTTCCTCAACAAAATTGCCACATACCTGAACTCTCATTAGATGGAGCTGTCTGAACATCCTTTTCCCATTATTCGTAATAGACGCAGAGAGAATTTGCAAGAGATCAAAGGAGACTGACATGGATATATAGTGTCTGACAACCCCTATAGAATTCTTGGCAGGAGACACCTGTTTTTTTTTTGGGCTAAACCTACTTTCTGTAATTGCATCTACTGAAGTCAAGGGGAAGATGATCATTGACCTCAGTAACAAATGAATTCGACAGACGTCCCCTGTGTGTATGTGTGTGTGTGCGTGTGTGTGAAAAAACTAACTATAGTCATCAAATAATAATAAAATGTGACACAACATATCTGAATGCATACTAAAATATTGAATTTAAGTTTTTATAATTTATATTAATAATTAAAGCATAAGATAAATTTAATTGAGTAAAAATCCACAGCATGCTCTCTTTTATGATGTATTTTGTCTCATGTATCAAGCTTCACAAACAACCATGGGAAAGTTACTTATGATAAATTACCCTAGTTTTTAGAAATGAGAAATATTCGTATTTCATCCAGGGATGTTGCAGTTAATTTTCAGGAAATTACCGTACAGGATATACAAATACACAGTATCCTTAGTTATTTGCATTTTCTGTATTTTGTGTTGTCCTGGATACTGTGTTGTCCTGAATGTTGTCACCTCTGTAAGTACAGGTGATGTATTATTCACAACCTATATTTATGTTTTTATGTTCTGAGTCTTGTCAGATTTGTGTCTAATTCCCTAAATGCTTTTCTTTGATGTTTACAAATTTAACCTGATTTCCTCCATTAATTCTGTCTACTGTGTGCTTTCTGCAGTTCAGACAGGTGGTCCAGGGATACCAGAGGAAAAGAAAGTTGAGGCTCAATTACAAAGTAAGATGTTTTATGTTTCAACTTACCTGAGATTTGTCTTATCTGAGGTCTAGCTCTAGTACCCCGTAAAGTTAAACTGTGTTACCTAGCAATGAAGTTCACTTGTAAAGTTGTCCAGAGTTAAGAAAACTTGTGAAGGGACTGGGATAGAAGGAATTTAGTGGCTGGATTGAAAGATTAAGGTGCAAAGTTGGTACTGAAACTAGGAATTTCATGTGACTAACCTGAGCAGGTCCATGAGTGTCTTGGTCCTATTAACAGCAAGCATTGTGCTGTGGATAAAAGACGTTGCAGAAGAGCCAGTGCAGCTATAATGGGGAGAGAAAGATACAAGGCAGAAGTCGTAACAAAATTATGTTTTTCTGTAACATCAAATCACTGCAAAAAGTTTTGTATGTGTGTTTTCATCTGTTGAGGCATAACAGATCTTGTGGATTAGCATGAGAGGTGTTTCAAAACAGTTTCTTTTTAATAATGGTGGCTAGAAAACTCATATGGGTAAATTCACTTACGTGAATAATGCTTCCACAACTAAAATATTCCAGATAAGAAGATCAATCTATTAAACATCCGTTTTTTTGACTTTTCCCTACTAAGTTCCCATTAGATGTCTCAGTGACATTTGTATGAATGCTATTGCTCATTTGCTAATAGAGTTTTGCTTTTTTTTCTCCTGTTATGTTCCAGGATGCTCCATAAGTGCAATGACAGACTTAGTTTTCCTGGTAGATGGCTCATGGAGTGTAGGGAGAAATAACTTTGGATATATTCTGGACTTCATGGTTGCCCTTGTATCAGCTTTTGACATTGGGGAAGAAAAGACAAGAGTTGGAGTTGTTCAGTACAGTTCGGATACAAGAACAGAGTTCAATTTAAATCAGTATTTGAGAAGTAGTGATCTTATTGATGCAATTAAAAGGATACCTTACAAAGGTGGCAACACAATGACAGGTACAGATTTTCCACATACATGTTTATTCAACATTTAGTTTCATAATTCAAATTTGCTTTAAATCCTGGTTCATACAAGTCTAGTAAAACACAATTTGTGGTGTTCTTTTTAGGTGAGGCTATTGATTACCTGGTTCAAAACACCTTCACTGAGTCTGCTGGAGCAAGAAAAGGCTTTCCCAAAGTAGCAATTGTCATTACTGATGGAAAAGCTCAAGACGATGTAGAAATTCCTGCAAGAGAGCTTCGCAACATAGGAGTTGAAGTTTTTTCTCTGGGTATGTCGAGTTTTTGTAATGATTGAGAGATTAACATTGATAAAGAAATAATGTATATGTTGTACAGATTCGTGTTTCAAGAATTTCATTATGCCTTTCTTTTAATCCGTATGCATTAGTGGGTCATTTCTGACCTCTAGAGTGAAAAATACCATTTGTGTTAATTAGATAGTAATTCTGTAGCTCCTACATGGAGATTAGGATGACTGACTAGCATCCTTTCAACCCTGGCCTCACTGAGGATATCACATTATTTTCTTGCATTGGAAATGGAGTGTGTCACCTCATTATTTTGTATGTTTTTGTAGTTCGATTATTGATAATGACAAAAGACAGAAGAGAAATTAAACTCAGCTTTACCCCAGGATGTTCTGACATTTCATGAGTACGTTCACAGGTGTCTGTATTTTATGGCTACTTAACACAGTCCTGTCTATTGCAACTTCTAGGTATAAAAGCAGCAGATGCAAAGGAACTCAAGTTAATTGCATCTCAGCCTTCACTGAAGCATGTGTTCAATGTGGCTAATTTTGATGGAATTGTGGATATACAGAATGAAATTATCTTGCAAGTGTGCTCCGGTGTTGATGAACAACTAGGTGAACTGGTTAGTGGAGAAGAAGGTGAGGTACTTTGTATACACATATTTATAGAACTCAGTTTATTCCAATGCGTATTTAAGAGGCTATCCCTACTTCCTTTGCTTTATTTCTGGAGTTTGATCTGTTGCCTCATTTAGCAAGTGTGGAAAACTGGTCTCAGTCTTGTGTTTTTAATGCACGAGAACAGAACATGTGATGTAGGAGGTTTGGAATAGCTCCATTATTCCATAGTTTCAAAGGCAACATTGATGTGCAGTTATCAGAGTCTCATACAGTCAGTTTGGACACAGGCGTCACTTCTGTGGAAAAATGTATTAAAGGGAAAAAAACTGCTTGGTAAAGGGGCAGAATATGTAATAGGTTAAGGACCAAGGAATGAAAAGTGGAGAATACTGAGAAAACACAGACACCAACCTGTGTCACTGCAGCTTTCTGACCCTGTAAGGTTTTGAGTGACTAGTTATTCTTTGACCAAAATGGCAGCAGAGATGACTCCACTGTCACAGTGCTCTGCTCAAGTCTGCATTTGTTCACACTTTCTACTGTGTTTCTGTGAGTGTAGCTTTCACTTCTGATTGAAATGGTTTTAAAGTAAGGCAGAATTTCTCCTGGAACTTCTTCTATACTTGAGGGACCATGAATTGTTCATATTTCTATGTCACTTTTGGACAGTCCTGTCATTCACTTCTGTTTATTTATGCTAAAAGTGATTTTTAGTAAAGATTAAGCAAAGATAAGTAAGTTTATTCCAGAAATAAAAACCGTGAAGAAAATATGCTTTTATGGTAATTAATATTTTGGGTTTGCTTTTCATTTCTTTCAGTGGTGGAGCCTCCTTCAAATCTGGTGGCCACTCAGATCTCCTCAAAATCTGTTAGGATCACTTGGGATCCATCCACAAGCCAAATAACTGGCTATCGGCTGCAGTTCATTCCAATGATAGCTGGTGGAAAACAACACGTACTGAGTGTGGGTCCTCAGACTACTGCTCTCAATGTTAAAGATCTCTCTCCAGACACAGAGTATCAAATTAATGTTTATGCAATGAAAGGACTGACCCCCAGTGAGCCAATAACGATAATGGAAAAAACACAACAAGTAAAAGTTCAAGTGGGTAAGTTAGGAGCCACTGCATTATTTTCACGTGGTAGCTTTTCATTGATTAAAGCTCTGATGCTTGTTTTAATCTCATACCTTTATAATTTATGAGAAACAGCTTTGCTTAGCATAGTTATTTTGTTTATAAGCAACTGTGTGTGATACATGAACTACAGATGCAATTGTAATGCGGTGGCTATTGAAAATCTGTTTACAATGGTTATTCTTTCTCTTTGCAGAATGCTCACGGGGTGTGGATGTAAAAGCTGATGTTGTGTTTTTAGTGGATGGTTCCTACAGCATTGGTATCGCCAATTTTGTAAAAGTAAGAGCCTTTTTGGAAGTGTTAGTTAAAAGCTTTGAGATATCGCCTCGAAAAGTACAGATAAGTCTTGTCCAGTACAGCAGAGATCCCCATATGGAGTTTTCTTTGAACAGATACAACAAAGTGGAAGACATAATTCAGGCTATTAACACCTTCCCCTACAGAGGTGGATCTACCAACACAGGCAAAGCAATGACATATGTGAGGGAGAAGGTATTTGTTACCAGCAAAGGATCAAGACCAAATGTGCCAAGAGTCATGATTCTTATTACTGATGGAAAATCGTCAGATGCTTTTAAAGAACCTGCAATAAAGCTGAGGGACGCAGATGTAGAAATATTTGCAGTTGGTGTGAAGGATGCCGTGCGTACAGAGTTGGAAGCGATTGCATCACCTCCTGCTGAGACCCACGTTTACACGGTGGAAGATTTTGATGCTTTTCAAAGAATATCATTTGAGCTTACACAGTCAGTCTGCCTACGAATTGAGCAGGAACTGGCTGCTATAAGGAGAAAATGTAAGTAACTACTATTACTTAGAGGAATGTAGAAAATGCAGTGAAAAAATATCTGAACCAATGTTTTGTTCTTGTAGTTACCTAAAGAATGTACATTGATGAAATTGTCCACATACAAATGATAATTTTAATAACTGGGGATTTGCTTCTCATTTTCAAACGTATTAAAAGCAAGGGAAATGAATGGTGAAGTGGAGATGAAAAAATTATTGGAGAAATTTTCCCCCCCTCCCCTGTTAAGTATCTAAAAAGCTATTAAATGTGTGTCTGTTGGAATGACCTTAGTGGATGTGCTCTGCTTTTACACTCAGTGTCTTGAGTAGAACAGTTACCATGCCCATTCGTTTTTAGCTGTCTAAGATGAGGTAGCTAATATAGGCTTGTCTTTTAGATTTCCAAAGGCAGTGAAGCAATGCCAACAACTCTAGGGGTGATTTGATTAATATTTAGAGTAAATATTAGAGTAAATATTAGAGTAAATATTAGAGTAAAATTAATGACCCTCTGGTATGAGATTTCTAAATGACCAGCTTTTGGTCAGCTAAAGTTACTTATGATTAGTTGCACCCTCAGTGCCCCTATCTATGTTTAGTAGAACACAAACATTGAATAGTCCCGATATTGAAAACCCCACTCTCTTTAAAAATAAGCCTTTTGTTTCAGGATAGCTTTGAGGAACAAACCAGCAGCACAGCCTTTGTTTAGAGGGCTGAAGCAGTCTTAAGATTCCCACTGTTAGGCTGACTAGGCCAACCAAAACAAGCCCAGGGTGTCAGGTTTGTGTTTGTGCTTCATGTCAAATTCCATGTTTCCCCTTCAACTTCGTTCCTGAAAAAATACTGGTATTTATTTTGTCCTGTTTCTAATCTAGATCTGAAATAAATCCCAACAATTCTTAGTTTCCATTGAGGACATAATGTTATTACCGTCGATGGGACATATAAAAGAGGAAACCTAACTTGATCATCAGATTCTAACTTAAGTTTTCCTGAGTATAGATGGACTGTTTTAATTCGATTTAGAAATCACTGAGTTGATGCTTCTACTCATTGTTGAATGATTTTAGGCAACCTAGATATGAACTTCATCAAATTTGATAGCTATAAGCAAATACTGTGCACGTGCAATAAAATATCTGTTCAATTAGAAGAAATGAAATTATTGAGGGAATTTTTTAATTTATTTTAGAGATTTTGTGTTTAAAATATTCTAGGAGGTATGCCTCACATGCACATTTTTATTCCTATACAGCTTATGTGCCTGCAAAGAACATGGTCTTTTCTGACATAACATCTGACAGTTTCAAAGTGAGCTGGTCTCCAGCTGGATCTGAGGTTTTGTCCTATCTCATTAAATATAAAGTAGCAGTTGGTGGAGATGAATTCATTGTTTCAGTACCAGCTTCAAGTACTAGCTCAGTTCTCACCAATTTACTGCCTGAAACTACTTATGCAGTCAGTGTGATTTCTGAATATGAAGATGGTGATGGCCCTCCCTTGGATGGAGAAGAAACCACCTTAGAAGGTAGGATTCCCATTATTCTCAGACACAAAGGAGTCATATGTTCAAATAAGAATTTGCATAATTGAAGAGTGGATCTATGAGGAGCATCAGCTGAGGCTGAGAAGCTATGCAGAATGAGAATAAACATTATTGTATCTCAATGCGTTCAGTAAAGATACAGAATTCCAATGATATGCAAACATTAAGTTGTTAAGATTGGATTTTATTTTCCCTGAAAGCTGGATGGATGCTGTACTTCTCTGCATTGGTCTCTTTTCAAAGGAAGTAGTAAGTTTTCAATAATAAATTCGGTGGCATGAATTAATGTTAATATACAGTCCACTTAGAGTAGATGAATATTGTAGGTCCCTTCCAACTGAACTATTCAATTCTGTTCTGCTCTATTGAATAGCTATGATTCTGATGCAAGAATGCATGTTGACTTCAATATATTTAAAGTGAAATGTGTGCCTATGTAATTTGCTATGCCTTCTAACTTAACATTAGTAGAAATTCTGTTTTAGATACAATAGGCTTAAAGGGGGTTGAGTTTTGGTCACCTGTTTTTTTGTCCGAACTTCATGGGTCTGATCCAATAACTAATGCAAAACTTCCACTCATGTCGGTGTGAGTTTATGTGATCAAGGGCTGTCAATTTAAGCATGGTAACTGCACATTTTCTTGATACAGTTGCCATGATGCATTTCTGCTGTTTGAAAGGAACAGCATGACAGTAAATTTGATTTTCTATTCCAGTAGTTGAATACTCGGTCTACTCTAAATCATGCTTTTAAAAATATTGATCCACTCTTTTTAATTATTCCATGCTGTCATTTGTGACCTTTGGTGACATAAATTGTTCCCAGGGAGAAAAAGAAACAGCACGGAGCTTTGTTTATTGGTGTTTCCTCTTAGGACTGATAGAAATAAATGCCTATAAAATAGCTTATTTTGGATGTTAAGTTTGGAAGATACAGGTTTCACTGTCAGTATTCACATTTCCATGACATTACCAGTCAGAATATTTTGGACACACATAATTTTCCCTTAGGAAAACAGACAAACTCTTGGCTGATTAGAATATGTAGCTTTTGTGTGTAAGGGACGGGGAAAGAAAAACTTTAATAAAAATAATCAATTCTCTCATGTTGTAACTGATACTGCCTTAAATAACTGTCAGCATCATGATCTGATGATATCCCAATGTGTCTGAGAAGATAGTCCTTCTGCAGCTCTCCATTCAGATCTAGCCAACAGTTTTGGCCAGATGGCTTTCTTGGCAATTAACTTAGGTTTCAGGCTTTTAAAGGATTTGAAGTTGAGTATTGTATTTCTGATTAATAGGAAACAAGTTTTTTTCTTTAAAACTAAGATTATTAATTGCTTCACTTTTAACATTAAAGAACAATGCTTATAGCATATAGGTAGTAAAGAACAAAAAAACAGAGGATTTTTTTCCCCTAAACGACAATGCAACTCTAGGCAACTTGCAGTACAGTAGATCTTAATGTCTGTTGGAAGAGTTGAGTCTTGTTTGGTGTGCCTACAAGTTCATCTGAGCTGCTATATCTTTTGTCAAGGAGCAGGCTAGCTTAAATGATTCACTACAGTTTTTCTTTAGTTTTTGGAATAACAAGCTATTTCTTTGAGTTAGAGACGAAATTCAGAAGCCTTTTTTAAACATTAGGTTCAACTCATATAGCAATGAATACATTTTTTGTTGCAAAAATTTTACTTAGAGAAATAGAATTGTTTTGGTGGTTTTTTTTCCCGTTGCATTTTCTTTGGTCATTTTTTAAAATAGGAGAGCTACCTGTGTGTAATCAGGTGTATCTGAGAACTGTCTGTAAATGGAAGTGGTGCAGATGCAAATGGCTACAGCAAGGAAACCTATGCCATTTGTCGTGTTAAGAAGTTTCCCCACTATGCCCAAATGTCCCTTACACAGTTGAGTTCTACTGGTACTGCTAAACACGGTCAGATTGTCTTAATTTTCAGAATCTATTATATAAACTGGGATTAATATACTTTTGGGGACAACTTTGTTACACTGCTGAATGTAACTCTGGCCCTAAATTTTCAGAAATTACTAGTGGTGTGTGTATCCTAAAACAATGGGAGCGCACTATAAGCTGTTGTTTTGCTAAACTGGATGAGCTAACAAAATGGTTGGAATGGTTTTACTTCAGATACTACTTCACCAAAGGCAAATATTTAAAAATTATATGTGTATATTTTTTGTAGTTAAAGGTGCTCCTCGAAACTTAAGGATAACAGATGAAACTACTGATAGCTTTGTAGTTGGCTGGACACCAGCTCCAGGAAATGTCCTACGGTACAGGCTTGTTTATAGACCCCTTACTGGAGGAGAAAGGAGACAAGTGACTGTATCAGCAAATGATAGATCAACTGTTCTGCAGAATTTGATCCAAGATACAAGATATGAAGTGTCTGTTATTCCCGAGTATCAGTCTGGGCCTGGGAATTCGTTGAATGGATATGCAAAAACTGACGAAGGTACATGACAAATGCTATGAATGTAGTAAGCTTGAGAAAAACTCCCTGGATGCTGACATATTCATACTGAAAAGAGAATAAATCTCATAATTCATATGTATTATCCCAGATGAACAAAGAATTATAACATTGCCCAAGCCTAGTGGAGAGGCAATTTATCAAAATTGCAATATTTCAATTTGAAATATAGTCTCTTGAACCTGTAACACCTGATATGGCAAGGCAACTTGGGTGAAGAATCCACCTGTATATTTAATTAATTGTCCTCATGATTCTTCATATTGTCAGTGATATAAATTATATACCTTTTGAGCAAATTCAGACCCTGTTTGCATTTTGTTCTGAGTGCTTAGCAAGGAATTAATGAAACATTTAATTTACGGAAATTATCACTGTAGACTTGTGTGAAGATGCATGATCCTTTAACATGTATTATGCCTTATTAAACAAAATCCAGAGAGTATGGAGACATTTATGAATGTCCTAATCATTGTTGAAATTTCACTGAGATCTTAGATATTATAAACCAGAAGAATTATAATCAAAAGAACTCTGTAGGTGTGTTAATTTTGTTGGTAATCTTTGACTTCATTCTGCAGATAGTGACTTCAACATGGATCTTGGCTTGTTGAAGTTGAGCATATATTAAGTTTCTAGTACATATAAGTACTAGAATGATTGAGCCTGTTTTAACAGAAAAAAAAATGGAAATAAAAAGACTTTATTGAGCATTTTTGCCTAAAGAGGGTGGGGATGGAATTGTAAAATCCTGATTATGGTAAAAGTATACTGTAGCAGTGTTAGTGCAGGCTATTCAGGAATTATTTTTATCATAAAATCCTATGTTGTAGTAACCTAAAAAAATCAACCAAGAAATGAAGCTTGGTTCAACTTGTTTTCAACCTCTTTTGACATGTGCAGTCCGAGGAAATCCAAGAAACTTGAAAGTTTCTGATGCTACAACATCAACAATGAAGCTGTCTTGGAGTGCTGCTCCAGGCAAAGTGCAGCAGTACTTTATAACCTACACTCCAGTTGCAGGAGGTGAAACCAAGGAAGTGACTGTGAAAGGGGACACTACCTCTAAAGTGCTGAAAGGCTTGGACCAAGCCACTAGGTATGCATTGACTGTGTCCGCCTTGTATGCCTCTGGAGCAGGAGACGCCCTTTCTGGAGAGGGAGAAACACTTGAAGGTAATTATTTAATGTTTTCTGTATGGTCATTCATTTATTTGATTAATGTTTATGGTGTCTTAAAGTGTCTTCCCAAGTTTTCCATAGAAGCAAATATATGAATGAAGAATAGGCATAAAAACACTCTCCTGCTTTACATGGATTTTCCAAACCTACTGTCCTCAGAGAAAAAAAATGGGTTAAATCACTGGTTGTGGAGGGGACTCTGGGTCTCTTGAAAAAGGTGTTCCTCAGGAGCACCAACCAAAACTGACTGTACTTCCACATTAGTCTTATAACTCTCGACTTCTGAACAGTTTTAGTGGCAGATTGTTCTTAATGTAAGGGGATTAATTAATGGAGTTAAAGTATCTCATCCATTTGAAAATTTGCAGCATCACTACTGTACTGAGACTGAAAGATGTTCAGGGACCATTTTTGCATTAGAGAAACAATATCTAGTCTAGGCAAAGAGATAATGAGTAATACCCTGCCTCTAACTAAAAACCTGGAGCTGAGCATAAACAGACTGCTGGCTAAGCGTGAAGTCAGAGCCAAAGACTTTCTTATAAGGAGGGGAAACTGCTCTTTCTCTGCCTTTGAGTGGAGAATTTCCCAGGCTAGTTCTCTGTGAGCATTCTCAGTGTCATCTGTAGATTGTCAGAGGATAATGAAAGCTGCATCCTAGGCCTTGAAAGGAAATGTGACTGCTCTGTGCTGGCCAGGTATGTATTGCTGAAGGCTGGCACTGCAGCTGTGTAGGCATGACACTTGAAAACATCTTGCAAATGAATTATGTGGAATTAAGACTTGTCCATTGATGCTAATGGAGTTAGAGACTAGCAATATACTTGACTCACGGTTTCTGCATAAGTCTCACTTTTTGTTTACAACATAGATTAGGAACCAAACAAGAAAAACCTTTTTAAAAAGGAAAATATAAAATCAAATAATTTAAAAAAATAATTTCCAGTGATATGCCAGTGTGCTGAATTCTTCCCACTAAAGTTTAGGCACTTACTTGAACACTGCAGTTTGCAGCATGGATGCTCTAGAATTCTGTGGTTGATGAAGAAAGGCAGATAGTCCATCTGAGGTCTCATTTTTCCTTCAACTGAACATTTATTTGTCTATTGACTATAGAAGGAGCAAATGAGAGCTCTAGGCACCAACACTGCCCATCCCACTAAGACAAAGATCCAATCCACGTACTTTTGCTGAGCCAGGATGCAGCCGTTAGAGAATCAGGCACCTTGCAATTCATGCTGAAAGTTCCCTAACTCGCTTGCTTTCACTACTCATGCAAGATCTGAATGCTTCTTTTGAGGGAAAAAGATCTTGTCTCCTGCCCAGAACACTACTGAGATCCAGGTAAATGAGAAGAGAGATCTGCTGCCTGTATCCTCCAGAAAAGCCAGAGGTGATCAGGACCTAATGAACTTCCCTGTTGGTGGTGGTGCTGCCCCTTTTGAGGTCTAACACATTTTGGAGAGAAGAGGGAGAATGTGTAGGCTTTACCCATTCTGGGAGAATTTGAATTCACATCTCCACCATCTTCACATCCCATCAGATTCACAAAGCTGCAGTGTATGGACAAGAATCTTCTTTACTCTTTCCATTGAACCTGAGCCACTGCACATCCAGGAATGCAAATTTCACTCTCAGAACAAAAGCAGACTGGATCTCGGGTAGACAGAGGAGCTGACATCCCTGCTTTTTCCTCTGTGCTGTCAGTGGTTAGAGGAATTCCTGTCTTCCTTTGCGAATCTTGAGAGGCCTCTGTCTCACTGTTAAACAGACTGAATTGTCCACATCCTTAGGGAGATGCCTCAAATTTTAGTAAAGGATTGACCAAGTTAACCGTTTACATTTGGTGGCAATATTTTCATTAGTATATTGGTAGTAAACTCATGAGAAATCCTTTATTAACATGGAGATGTGGAGAGATCAAGTGTGTTTCAAATTCATAAAGTAAGCTTAGCTTTTTATCCTATCATAAAACGTGAACAAGAGAAAAGTCTCTTAAGGCGTTGCGTAGAGCTTCTGTTAGAACATATCCTAGAGAGCAGTGAATGAAATACAGTAGAATCCAAACAACAAAGTCATCAGAAAACCGGAATTCAGTCTCAGGTACAGACTGTCTTGTCCTTTCAGTGCTCCCTGCCCCATCCCACCTCCCAAGGGCTCCGATTCCTATTTGGCCTTTCTGCCTTACTAAATTGTTAATAAGAAGAAAAACATTCTCAAAGTTGGTTAAAGAGTCAAAGAATTTAAAAGAATAATTGCCTATATCTCAGAAATGAATTCATATGCAACCAGATGAAATTTAAAATGGGTGTTGCACTGAAAAGGTCACAGAAGCATTCCTGTAAGAGATTTTACTCTAAGCAACTGAATTAAAACATTACCTAAAAAATTCTGTGACAGATTTTTTCTTGGGATAAATATGAATAACCAAGCATCCGATCACTCAACTGAATTACTTTTTATTCAGTTTTTCAACTGGAAGAAAACTAAATTAGAAATTACTTGTACTATTTTGACATATATAGCTTTGTGACTCAAATGTAAATTCTTTGAAGATTCAGCTGGATTTGAAAATCCTATCATGGTGCACTCCAAAAAATGTTATTCTTTGTATTAAAACTGTCTATTTAATTTTCTTGGTTAGATAAAATGTTAGTAAGAGCATTGTAGAGATGTCAATCATTACTGGGTGATCAAAGGGAACAAACAGAATACAAATTTCTGTTTGCATGACAGTAAAGTCCTAAATCAAATTTCCTTGTGGAACATCTACCTTGTATTTCAGCAATCAGCATATCTGCAGTTTTGAGGGGCAATAAAAGTACTTGAATTAGGCCAGAACTCTTTGAACATGGTCTGTAGATATTTTAAAACACTCTTTGACTAATGATATGAAAGATTCTCAGAATATTTTTTGCAGCATATAAGACAATATTTCACTGTATAGTATTATTTTACCTCATTGAAGGATAAAATGACAAAACTTGAGGAAAACCAGACAATTAAGAGCAAAAGGTTTGCAATTTTGGAACTGAAAGGTATCATTCAAACTTCAAAGCTTAGTATAGAAGTTTACATGAAAAGAGAAGTCATACTGGCTGTGAAGCTAAAATAAACGTGGTTGGACCCAGATGAAAAGTTACACAGGTCGGTGAAGTGAATACTTGACCAACAAGTAGCTGAAATAATTTGTCTGACTGAGGCTGGAAACAGGACAGGTCTTAACTTCTGGAGAAATAAACTTATCAACAGTAATGACAAAAAAGCTGTGAAAGGAAGCATAAAAAAGTGTTTAGTATTTCAGCTAGTTTTTCCGTGAGCCATGGTGTCTGAGAAACAAAACAGTGTGGTGTGTGTTTTGCATTGCCAACAACACTGAAATACTGAGCACTAAAGTGTTTTCCTGTATCAGGAATCCCTATGGGGCTTACTTGATGTCTTCACCATATGAATTCTCACCAAACCTGTTCAGTGATGCCATAGCTGCTGGCCATTTCAGCTCCTCATCATATCAAGAGCTAAGCTTGAGATTGCCTTTCAAACTAGGACAGTTGCTAGTTCATGGTATTGATATGTAGCCTAAGAGGAATCAATTTGGGTGTAGTGAACATTTCAACCCTAACAGGCAAGTGAGAAAAGGGGAACTTGATACAGTAGCTTCTCCAGCTATCTTATAGTCAAGTGACAGGAAATGAAAAATCCAAACTCTCAGATATTTATGGAATTTTACTGAATTACTAAATGATCTCCTGCAATTAAGGGTGTAGGCAAGCATTCTTATGGCTTTCAGTAATGATTTATTTTGCTCTGCACGTAGTAGGAGAACTCACATGGGCAGTTACACTATCCCAGACAAGGGTATCCTTCACCAGAGAGCAAAAAAATGAGAAGTTTTTAGACTGCTCTAACCTGATCTGCAAGGACGTCTGCCCAGGCTTTCACTGAAGGCCCTTCAGTTATGTTTGTTATCTCCAAAGTATTTTGGAGCAGTTACAAATTGCTCTTGGAAGTTCCTCCTCTTCCTCTGCTTTGCTCTGCAAGGCAGTTTTTCAGTGTTTTGAAGTGGCTCGTTTGTTTCAGGATTCACAGGAAAAATCAATCCACATAAACCCAGAAATCATTCTGTGTACTTGATATCATTTACCAGCTGGGTAATCTCAGTTTCACCTTGTATTTTTATTTTTGCCAAGTATATGCTTGCCCTTATTGTTTCTCTTCATAAAACAGAGAGGGCAAATATTCCCCCAAGTAACTGCAGATAATCTCTTCTATAAACTGTTTGCATAGCTCTCTGGTGCAGCCCAAAGATAAACACATGCCAAAGGATCATCATTTTATGAACTGCTCAGAGACAACACAGTATAGAGAGTTTAGCAAATGAGTAATCAGAAAATGACTCATTTCTGAGAGTGCCATTCCATTACCAGGTAATTGTTATTCAGAGAGAATGGGTTTATTTCTTTTTTGTTTGTTTGTGGAGCAGGAAAAGGGAAACTGTTTTGCCACTTTGTTAAAGGAGTGTGCTTTCCTTCTTCAGTAATCCAGACTTTAGGAAATTTATAGTGCTCTCATCTTTTATACAGCCTCTTTCAGTCACAGGCTGATTTTGTCTACAGTTATGAGGTACCGTCCAGAGGTGAAAGTTCTAGAGCTTTATATTTCATACTCCTTTAAGCATAATTGCATGTGCAAAATATGTGCTGTAGAAAACTCTCCACTTATACATATTCTCTCACTTTCAAAAGTGCATGGTGATCCATCACTAGGCAGCTTTAGTTGGAGTCCTTCTATAAAGGCGCCATGGAAAAAAGACATACTTTTTTGGCTATGATTCCCCTCAGCTCACACAAAGTTGTTGAAACTGCTAAAGTAAATTAAATCTGTGCAGACTGCCATTTGCCTCGGCGTGGAACAAGGCTTGTGAGAACTGAAGGAGCTAAACAAATTAGCACTGATGGTTATATTTGATGATGCATAATACAGATTGAAGAACA